TCAAATCCATATAAAGGTAGCATCATCTAACCCATATTTAACTAATTTGACCACAAGAATATTGTAAAGTATATTGTAAGAATCCTTCCTGGAATCAAAATGCATGAAATCCACAGCATTCTCCTTATCTTCCCAGCTTGTAAAGCTATTAAGAATAGAGAAAGTCAGTCTAGAATGACTTCTTTTTGAGGAAACCTGTGATGTGTTTTTGTAATCATTGCATCACATTCTAATATGTATGAACTGTTTATCTGTTATAGAAAACTTTCAGGCAGTTAATAATTGGTCAGATTTTCTTTCTTCCCCCTTTTGAAGACAGGAATGATATTTGCTCTCATCCAATTTTCAGAGACCTCACTTTTTCTTTAAGAATTCTCAAAGATTATAGACAGAGGCTCAGATATTATTAAATATTGAAAAACAAACAAACAAACAAACAAATGGTTGTTATAGGTTTTCCGGGTTGTTTGGTCATGTTCTGGAGGTTTTTCTTCCTAACTTTTCAATAGTCTCTGTGGCCGGCATTTCTTTTCAAATGATTATGGTGATCAGGGTGTGAACATGAAACATGAACATGAAATACACTGCAGATTAAAACAACCAGAAAAATTGGCAGTAGCTGAGCTGAACATGACCTTAAATAAGATGGACATGAAATCCTATTTCCAAACACAGAATTACTGGACAACACCAGCAATTATTATGTTAGACTACACAGGGAAGCCATTGAAATCCACACACATCAGCACAGCTTCAAAAAGAAAGAAAGAAAGAAAGAAAGAAAGAAAGAAAGAAAGAAAGAAAGAAAGTCAGTCAGTCAGTCAGTCAAGGAGCAGAGCATTAACCGTTCATGCAGGTATTAACTCTACAACATCCTTGCCTTGCAGGCATTCATAAAAAACATTACCCAAAAATCAACTTCTTATTGGCTGGGGCTAGTAGCCGAGTATTCTGAAAGGTGGATCTGGAAATGGACTGATGGATCCCCCTTAAAAGAAAAACTGTGAGTACTTGTAAAGGCAAATAGACCACACAAGTTGATTGCTGCTCATTTTATCCATTGTATACAAGTGTAGGAGATTGTCCTTGTGTAGACGAAACAAAAAGAATCCAACAAATCTAATTCTGAAGGAGAAACTGCAGTCTCGGGATGCAAGAAAATAAATCTTTCTTTACTTCCAGTTATTCTTATTAGCTTGGTAGAAGGGGTTCTTGCAGAAAAAACAGTTCCTCTTCCCATTCAAGTAAGGAATTCAGTATAAATTCTACTAAACTTGAATCTAGAATCTTAGTCCTACGGGGCTTAGGTGTTCTGAAATAACACCCATGAAGAAAGTGGAGCCATGAGACTACAAAGACCAGAAGGATCCTCAGAAGATGAATATGCCCGACACTGCACTGGAGTGACCACATTCACATTACTTTCATTGTTCTTCTGTGTTTCATGTTGTTTGTGCTTTAATGTGCTTAATTCATAAATTAACTTTAAAAGAAAAGCATTGAAACCATAGTGTGAAAAGCATAGTGTCTGCAATCACCCAAGCAGTTGCTCAGATAGTTTATGAGAGGATTCTAGCTTGGTAGAATCTGGTGGAAACCTTCCTTTTAATCTTTTGTTTTTAAATCTTTTGTTTTCTTTTGTTTTCTGTTGTTTCTTTGGACTTTGCCTGATGTGGCAGAAAAACATTCCTCCTTCCATGCACATAAGGAATTTATAAATCAAACTTTAAAAGCATATTTGCTAGTTGTTTGACACTATCCACACTTTTCAGTATCCTTGGGGATGCTTGGAACCAATCCCCCATGGATACCATGGATCTACTGTAATCTAGAATATAAATATAATATAAATGCAGTCAGATCCAGTTTGGTCATCAAGTCATCATCATCGTCTTAGAACTGCAGAGCTGGAAGGGACTTTATGGATCATCAACCCCAGCCTCTGTCAAGGAGGCCCAGCGGGGAACTGAACTGCCAACCTCCAGCAACACAGCTAGATACTTAAACCACTGAGCTAGTCAGATCCTTTTTTCCTCAGTTTCTACCACAATAATCAATTTTATATCACATAAAATGTACTGTAAAATTCATGTTCTAACTCCCAGAAGAGCATTTGTATTCACATATGTGGATATTTTCTCCTCTTTTAAAATTTTGTCTCAAATAATTTGTTTTTATACTGTTTTGTCTTGCTTACATTTATTCTTCCCCCCAAAATAACAGCACATAAGTGTCATGTTTCCAGGGGATGCAGCAGGCAAAAGTCTAATAAGTCAGTCCAAAGTCAGAGAGATACAAAACAGATGTCAAATTGTCAAAGTCAAAACACGAACCATACTCAGAAGTCAGAGTCCAAGGGCCAAGGGTCAAGTAAGCAAAGTTCAAGATAGCAGGAATGTGGATGCAAGCCAGAGAATGGACTTGTTGCTTCCACAGATTTCCAAGCCTTCTAGGTACAAATTATATAGGAGCAGCAACCATGAAAGTTCTAAAAGCCTTCCACCCTGTTAAAACTCAGGACTGGTCGACCTGATGTTCCTGTGGGAAGCATTCATGCAAGCTTCGGATCTTCATGTCATGAGTCTTTGCTGAAGCTTGTCCCTCACTCTGGCTACTGGGGGAGGAGAATCTGGTGGTGATTCAGTTGTCTGTGCTTCTAATTGCCCAGCATTTTCCTCAGCTGAAATTAACCTCTCAGAACTTCTTCGGTTGAACTCATGACACTCCCACAGCCGCACGCCTGTCAACCTCCTCCAGTGGCTGCTCAGCCTCAATAACATTAATATGCTCCATTAGGTCATATGCTAAAGCCTTAAGTTTAGCTTTACAATTACTTTTAGATCTCGTTAGACCACAAGAGTCTCACACCATCTGTGGGGGGGGGCAAAGCTCATTCATGCTACCCAAAGCCTCGTCAGCTTGGTAGCGACTTCGTCATTCTGAACTGTCGTTCCTAAGGAGATGTAAACAAAAATATAACAACCAGAATGCATCACAACTACAAAAATATGAAAGAAAAATATATTAAAAAACCCAAATCTGAAAAAACAAGAAAAAAACACAATTATATAGTGTAAGCTGAAACCGACATTGCATATCTTTAAAGACAGCTCTGTGAAGCATGCATACAGAAATATAATCCAAATCTAATCACGGTACATCTGTTGATTTCTGCAACCTTCATACCTGGCGTGTACGTGAGAAATAGGAGCAACAGGAGAACATGATAAGCTAGCAGAAAGACACAAACCCTGTTACTTGAATAACTGTTTACATAATGAGGTGCCATTCAAAACCACCAGGTTGCATATTGATAGTGCAGTAGCCCATCACTCTCCTTCTAAGGCATACAGCAGCTCGACAGTTGTGCAGTCACAATGTGGGGCACACAATGACTGCCCCATGACTCACTGCTCTTGAATACTGTCTTTTTGCCATAGATCAAGGAAAGACTTGCCATTTTCAGCTCGGGAAACTGGAAACCTTATGCAAGCGTCCTCAGAAGGGACCCTATGTTCTTGGCATGCCATTGCATTAATGTGGAAAGTTTAGTTTTGCTGGTGGGGGGACTTTGCCTTGTATTTCTAGGCAATATGTTTCTTGGGGTAGGCTGGTCAGCCCAGATCCCAAGCACAGATGGAAAGATGGTACAAAATTCATAGCGGCTGAGTATTTGCTGTACATTTTGACATGCTAATGCTGGTACACTCAATAGGCAGGGTCAACTATTCTCTCTAGAGAGTGAGAAAAAGGCTGTGATGCTTATTAGCATAATTTGGAAACAGATGTTGCCCCGTGGAAGCTGCAAATCAACAGTCTTCACCTACTCAAGCCTTTTGACATGAGAATGTAGACACTTAAGATAACTTTGACTGAAGGATTATTCATTATTTTTTAAGTAAACAACTTAAATTGGAAGCCACCTAGAGTGGTCCGGTGGGCCAGATAGGCGGGGTATAAATCAAATCAATAAATCAATAAATCAATAAATAAATCAATAAATAAACTTCCTTGCATTGCAGGTTTGCTGTATCAGGCCCAGCTGGAAATAACAGTTGTATAATGACAAAGGATGGTGAGGTCAGCTCCGAAGATTGCAGTTCTCTTTATGCCTGGGTCTGCATGAAAACAGCTTTCACCTTATAAACAAACACATTGGAAATTACAGTCACTGCAATCTGCGGAAGGAGGTGGCTATTCGTTTAACATGCACCCTGTACCAGCGCCCTACAGCCCACAGATGTTTTCTGTCTTCAGATGATTCCTTAACTCACATGATGATGCGGCCTACCATTTGTAGAAGTTTATGCCAAATTAAACATCTCTGTCTAAGTTACCATAAGACTCTTTCATCATGTTTATCGTGAATCCCTGCCCTATGCTCTCATCATACATTATGCATAATGGGCTCATTTTCAGATAAGAAAACCACAACTCTCACAACTTTGGTATGCTGAAAGGACAATCAGATGTGCTCTGGTCCATGGGGTCACGAAGAGTTGGGCACGATTTTACAACAAGAAGATGCAGTATAGTGACCTCTTATACTCTCTCCCTAACTGTCAAAATCCTCACCAGTAGATTCCTAATGTCATTCAGTGCTTTAAAAAAAATACCCACAGAAATCATACTCAAATCCTCTGAAACAGATACAGATTTTCTTCCCATTCCCTCTGCAGTTGACTTTCAGGTGATATTATCATAAGGCTTACTATATTCGCGTTTCCCTTATCCTCTTGTTGAGTTCTTTGTTATATACATGTCATAGCGGTTGCAGATCCAATTTCTTCTCTTTGTTGTATACGTGTCATAGCGGTTGCAGATCCAATTTCTTGTTATGTGGCAACGAGAGCCAATGGCAATATCAGTGCTTAGAAATGCACATTCTCCTCCTTTTCCTCCCACCTCTATCCTGCAATTAAAAATGTAAGTGTGACATAATGAAACCACACTGTTCACTCTCTCTTTTGTGAACAAAAAGGGCATTCCAAACTATGCACAAAGGAGCCCAAACATTTAAAATCAGGGCTCTGTTCCGATCATCAGTATTTCCTAAAACTCTTCAATTCAGGGTTTTCAAAGTATGTGAGATATTTTAGGGGTCATTTTATCCTCTTACTCCTACCCCCTTCAGTTTCTATGGCCAAGCAGGGATTTGAACCATTGCCTCCTGAGTCCCAGTCCGTCATTCTACCCACTGCTGCACACTAGCTCTCACAGAGTTCACTACAATTAACTAGTGTTGGCTGCAGCTTCAATGGTGTTTTAAAATACAGTGGTGCCTCGCAATATGATGTTAATTCGTTCCGCGAAAAACGTTGTCTTGTGACAACATTGTCTTGTGAAACGTGGTTCCCCATTGGAATGCATTGGCATCTAATTAATGTGTTCCAATGGGAAAATAGTCATCTTGCGAAAATCGTCCATAGAAAACATTGTCTTGTGAAAGGCGGTTCCCCATTGGAATGCATTGAAATCTACTTAATGTGTTCCAATGGGGAAAAATTGTCGTCTTGCAAAAATCGTCCATAGAAAACATCATCTTGCGAAGTGCCACAACGATTGCAAAAACCAATTGTCTTGTGGATTAATCGTCCCACAAGGCAATTGTCTTGCGAGGCACCACTGTAATTAAAAATATCCTTTCCCCTTTCATTCTCCTTTCCTTGTGTTTTGCGCTCTTAATAGTAACTATAAAACAAGGCTTTATTATTGTGTATAAATAATGGACAGGACTTATCACTCGAGATATTTTGTTATATTTGTAGTACATTTAATGGATTATCATTACCACTTAACCATGAGCTCTAAATGAAATAGCAGATGGCCAGAACAAACTACATATGTATGGTATGAATGTCTGTCCCTATATTTCATGTTCTGGCCTCTCATCTACCTCCAGTACAATACTTGAAACATTGGTTCATTCATATACAGTGTCTTCTTCTATTCCTCACCACTGTGGAGTTCCCAATTAAAATACAAACACAAACACAAACAAAACCCCATGAGCTTTGCTCGTTTCCCAACAGAATTCTACAGCCAGTTATATAGTGAATTTTAGATTTGCCTGAAACTGGCAGACAGTGAGGCTGCTACTTAGCAATTTACACCTCACAACCCTAATTCTGGGTAGAACAATGACTCACGTGTTGTTGAATTCTGTCTCATCTGCCCACTTCCATACTTGGTTTGATTCTTTCCAGAGGCCTATCCAATGATCAGGTGTGCCCTTGTAACGCAAGATGAATTTCTTAGAGAGAGAGAGAGAAAAACAGACAGACAGATGTCTTCAAATGACTATGCAGTACCTCAAGTGGTAAACGTTTTTGTACCTACGTAAGATAGCAGGACAAAGAATGTGAACAAAGTACAGTGGTGCCCCGCATAGTGACGATAATCCGTTCCGGATAAATTGTCGCTATCTGGAATCGTTGCTATATGGGGCAAAAACCCCATAGGAACGCATTGAAACCCCTTCAATGCGTTCCTATGGGGGATAAACTCACAGCTATGCAGAAATCCTCCATATGGCTGCCATTTTCGCCACCTCAGTAAGCGAGGAAACTGCACGAAAATGCTGCAGGCGGCCATTTTTTCTTCCGGCGGCCATTTTGGAACCGCTGATCAGCTGTTGGAGAAACATCGCAATGCGAAAATCGGTAAGCGAAGCGCTTACTGATCATCGCAAAGCGATGTTTACCCATTAAAAACATCGCAATGCGATCGCTTTTGCGATCGCAAAATCCGCATCACTATGCGGATTCGTCGTTAAACAGGGCGCTCGTTATGCGAGGCACCTCTGTACTGGGGATGGCATAGGAAACAGCCAGTGCAACTGGAGATACAAAAAGGTGAAGTTATTATGATAGAATACATTATATGAGTAAAGGGTAGATGAAAAGCTACAAAAGGCAGCATGGCAGATACCACAAAGTCAACATTTAAGGACAACTGTCTTAAGGGCGAAATTTAAATATGTTTCTATGAACTTTTATTGTTGTTACATGCTGTCAAATATCTGACATGGAGACCATATGAATGGGTGATCACCAGATTGTCCTCCACCACTTTTCTCTGGGGTATATAAGACAAATAAATGAAATTAGCAGCCTTGCTCAGCTCCTGTAATCTCAAAGCCACGGCTTCCTTTGTGGTATCAACCCATTTCAAATCTGGTCTTCCTTTTCCCCATTGTCTTCAACTTTCCCTAAGATTATTGTCTTTTTCAATGAAAATTCTCTTTTCATAATGTGCTTCAAGTATGACAGTATTTTCATCATTTTTGCTTCTAGAGCAGTGATGGCGAACCTATGGCATGCGTGCCACAGCTGGCACACGAGCCGCAAGTCACCATACAGAAATACTTACCTGTCCTCCGATCCCAGTTGGGCACTCACCTTTGCTAGTGCAGTGGTCCAGCGGAGGGATGCAATGGCGGCCATTACCGGTCTAGCCCCATGGGGGATTGGAGGACTAGTAAGTATTTATTTGTTAATTCCATCCATTGGGGGGGGGGAACACAACCATTTAACCCTTGCAGTGCATGAGCAGTTGTTTTTTCTAAACTAAAACCTCAGCATTTGGGTTTTAATTGAAGTATTGGCACTTTGAAATAAATAAGTTGATTTTTTGTTGCAATTTGGGCACTCGGGCTAAAAAGGTTCACCATCACTGTTCTAGAGTGAGTTCGGGCTTGGTTTGATCTAAGACTTATTTATTTAATGTATTCGCCAAGGCTTTCATGGCCGGGATCTAATGGTTGCTGTGGGTTTTTCGGGCTCTTTGGCCGTGTTCTGAAGGTTGTTCTTACTGACATTTTTCCAGTCTCTGTGGCCGGCATCTTCAGAGGACAGCACTTCAGAGGACCAGAGCACAGAGTGCTGTCCTCTGAAGATGCCGGCCACAGAGACTGGCAAAATGTCAGTAAGAACAACCTTCAGAACACGGCCAAAGAGCCGACTGGCGAAACGTTGAGTGTGATTAATTTACTTCAGTGATTACTTTAGAAATCTGTATAATTATTGTGGCGGCCTCTCTGAAGCCCTTATTCTCTAAGGCCTCCAGGAGGTTCTCGCTCTTCTTCCTTCTTAGCTGCCACCAAGTATTGCTGTCTCAATACTAATCACTCAAGGAGACACATGTATCTTTGAAATTTAACTTATTTGATCAGGGAGGGTAACATCTGATTAATATGCAGTAGGTAAATCACAGGTTGATAATCACTTAAATCAGAATCAGTACTACTATTCAGCGTCCTCACAGATCTCCCACTCACTCTTAGTTCACTCTTAAGTTTCACACAGTCTCTTAATACCAGAATCTCTCTCACTCACTGAACTGAACTCCTCTCATACTCCATACACCAGCCTTTATATCTGAACCCCTCTCCCCTTGGCACCGCCTTCCATTCACTCATTGGCTCCTTCTCCACTGCTCAGCTGTGACGGACAGGTGAGGGCAGGGCTGTTCGCTACAATTATAATTAGAGATGGGAACGAATATAAAAATGCATTGGCTTTTTCAACAAAAATAGCCATTTAGTTAAATATTCATCCCTTCATATTCGTGGGTTCCAAAGACCCCCAGAAATATGAAGTGATTAATATTTATCCATTTTTATTCATCCTTCGTATTACCAAAAAAACCAACAACCCCACACAACACCATTCTGCCTACCGGCTGCCAATCAACTACAGATAGGCAGGCAGCCACCCTTCAGTGGAAGCCGGGGGGGGGGCTGNTTAAAAAATGCCCCCCCCACGAATCAATGAATAATTTTGTTATTTGTCGCTTCATGGGGGCAACTTCGTGCTTCGTGAGTCGTCCCACTTTTGATGATTCACAAAGCAGGACGACTCACCAAAATGGCATGTCTTCCCCACCTCTAATTATAAGATACCCAGTTATATTTAATTGGCATTGAAACCTATCTGTATACAGTATATGAGATGTACATTATTTGTATGTACAGAGTCAAATGCATAATCTTTTGTGTCTGGGCCTCTTTCAACTCGTTCATCATAGCAGATCAAAGGTAATTGCAGTCCCTTCTACCTTTTCAGCAAATTCTGTATTTCAGTGTGGTAAATAAATTATTTCTAAAGTTATAACAAACTTGTATGGAGTCTTCTTTATGCTTTTACAAGGAACAGGATACTTCTCTTAACACGGAACAGTTCTCTCACACAGCCTATCAAGTACTGTACATCTGTTGGTCTTACCTTTTCTAGTTCACTTTCAATCACGGCCAGGGTAGAGCTGTGGGAAGTGCAAAAGTTCTGGCCAAAAGTCCAGTTTCCTTCCCCTTCTGAGAAGTAGAAGCACTTCCTTTCATAGCCGATCCAGCCTGCTGGACACACTGGCCCACAAAGAGCAAGGGGTTCCACTTGAGTGACAAGCTGGTCGCAGTTTTTACATGAGACTGAAAACGTAAGAGGAAACAGGATTCAACCAGCAGCTTAAACTACTGCTCAGCCAGGCCACCTCCATATGACAGGGGCATTCAAACTCCATGTTTCAGCTATGCTGAGACGACCACAAATGCTACTGGTCTAAATAAGTTATTACTAGTCCATCTGTACCAAATAGATCCAGTACTTGTGCCTTAATACAGTGGTCCCCAACCTTGGGCCTCCAGATGTTCTTGGACTTCAACTCCCAGAAATCCTGGCCAGCAGAGGCGGTGGTGATGGCTTCTGGGAGTTGTAGTCCAAGAACATCTGGAGGCCCAAGGTAGAGGACCACTGCCTTAATAGTCCACTTGTTGAAACAGGAAAAAAAGCAGTAAACCTTGCATCTCCAATCTCAGTGGATTCATCTGAAAAGCCCCAGGAGCTTGTGATTACTGCACATACAGAGTAGAATGCTCAGCTATGTACCTTTCTGGCTTTAAATTTGGGGATGGAGAACTTCCAGAGGTCCATGGGACATACACACTCAAACCCTGGACCTCAGAAGGCTGGCAATCTCAGGTGTGTAGCCCCGAATCCTTCCAAACAAACTTTATCCGAATTGTTGATAATGCCAAACATACAATTAAGACACGAGGCTACTCAACTCCATTCTGCTCCTTGAGCCCATTCTGTTCCAGCCCCAGCCCCTCAATTCATACCTTGCAGCAGAAGGTGGCAAAATCTGCATAGGAGTTGTACTTGTGTTTTCTTGAACACAATTGGAAGTCTTCAGTACGATCAGAGATCCTTCATTGTTAGACACTGAGATTTTGCTCCTGAACACAGCATAGTGAGGGACTGGGGCAGTGAGTGTCATCACTGTTGCAGAACGTAAAGAAAGGTCTCAGAAAAAACAACAACTCACCTTTCCAGACAATGGGGATGGCAATAACGAAGATGATTATTATTACACTGACAAGGATAAGCCCATATGGTTGAAAGCTGAAATGGCTCGCTGGGGGGAAAAAGACATGCAAATGTTGCTAGCAGTGCCTAAAAAATATTTATTTAGCTCACTTGGAGTTTTACCTTCTGAAAAAAAATGAACAAATGCACTGAACTAAAATATATCAAACTAGAACTTGCAAAAATGTGTTTTCTTAGAATATTAAGAGACAGATTGCCTCTGGTAGTGGAGAGAACACATATTTATCATTAGACCATCTGAGAGATTCATCCTTAGTTAATTTGTCCAATCACTTCTAAGGGCTTGCTAGTTTTTTCTTGATATGTAGTTTAACACAATTTATCAGAATCCACCTTTTTCTGAGTTAAACATTTCCAAACTTTGTATGCTTTCTTCAGAGAGTAGTTTCTTCACTTCCTTGATCACTGCAGCCATCCTTTTATTTGTCTTCCCGACTTCACAATATTCTTTTTCAGGTGCAGTGATCAGAGCGGTATAATATTCCAAATATACCTTCATCATCAATTTCTTTAAGGGCAGTATGACAGTGGTAGTTTTTTTTTTTCCAATTCTTTTTAAAAAACATTCTTAACATAGGTTTTGTCATTTAGCTAGCTCGTTAGCTTTACAGCAGCCTTACAATTGGCATGGTTGATATCTACAAGAAATGAGATCTGTTTCACAGCCAGTTGTTGACACTCAGATTCTATTGATGTATATGTGAAGGTGGGATTTCTTGCTCCAATGTACATAATTTTAAAACTGCTTATACTGATGCATTTCCACAAGCACACATCCCTCATCATATGTGTTCACCACATGCTTCCAGAACAACCAAAGACAGCTGATATCTTCTGGATTACCCCTGGCCACATATCTGGTGACATTTTTAAAGAACTCTAAAAGATCATCTTTGTGATCTCAGTTATTATGAACCTATTTATACTACATTGAAGTTCTAACAATTTTAAATATTATTGTGGAGAAAGCCAGGAAGTTCCAGAAAAACATCTACTTCTGCTTCATTGACTATGCAAAAGCCTTTGACTGAGTGGACTACAGCAAACTATGGCAAGTCCTTAAAGAAATGGGAGTGCCTGACCACCTTATCTATCTCCTGAGAAACCTATACGTGGGACAGGAAGCAACAGTTAGAACTGGATATGGAACAACTGATTGGCTTAAAATTGGGAAAGGAGTATGACAAGGCTGTATATTGTCCCCCGGCTTATTCAACTTATATGCAGAATACATCATGCGGAAGGCTGGACTGGAGGAATCCCAAACTGGAATTAAGATTGCCAGAAGAAATATCAACAACCTCAGATATGCAGATGATACCACTCAGATGGCAGAAAGTGAGGAGGAATTAAAGAACCTCGTAATGAGGGTGAAAGAGGAGAGTGCAAAAAACGGTCTGAAAGTCAACATCAAAAAAAACTAAGATCATGGCCACTGGTCCCTTCACCTCCTGGCAAATAGAAGGGGAAGATATGGAGGCAGTGACAGATTTTACTTTCTTGGGCTCCATGATCACTGCAGATGGAGACAGCAACAACCAAATTAAAAGACACCTGCTTCTTGGGAGGAAAGCGATGAAAAAACTTGACAGCATCTTAAAAAGCAGAGACATCACCTTGCCAACAAAAGTCCGCACAGTCAAAACTATGGTTTTTCCTGTAGTGATGTATGGAGGTGAGAGCTGGACCATAAAGAAAGCTGACCGCCGAAGAATTGATGCCTTTGAATTGTGATGCTGGAGGAGGCTCTTGAGAGT